GCTTCAAGAGTGTCCACAGTCACAGGGATGGGGCCCCTCGGGGTCGCCATCCTCGTAACTGTCATCGTTTTTGAGCTCTCATATCGAGAGGAACCCCCTGAGTGGAGCCAACGTTAGGAAAAAAAAGCAGCCGGAGCCAACGTTAGGAAAAAAAACACCTCCGCCCTGCGCATGGGCTCTGGATTTTTCATGGGCCTTGAGGCTAAGCTTCACGGTTCAAAAGGGGCATTTTTTAATGGAGGTGTCTTGCACGTAGTGGGCAAATGCTTGGAAGAAGCCGCCGAGTCATTCAGGGCGAAGGCGGTGTTGACTTAGTCTGGCCACTCCTTACAAAGAGCGCAGAATGTCTTCGCCTGCCGCAGAAAATTTCTTGACATCCACGCAGGCTGACAGTCGACGGCTTTTGTGTGGGGTAGACAGGTTAACCTGCGATTGTTTCTCAGACGGTGGCATGCGAATGTCTCGAAACTAGTCGCAGGCGCATGGTCCGATGACTCCCGGGACTGGGCTTGTCATGCAAAAGGGTAGTGGCATGTCATGCCCGTGGGCGCCTGTGGTTAGTTTCACATCTGTCACATGGGTGGCAAGGAGTGGCTCGACTTTCCGGAGATCCGCCGGCATCACTTGCGACCGGACCACCGGGCCACAGGCCACAGTTCCATTGGGCCTGCTGATGCACATGAAGTTGAGCTCTAGCAGGAGCGTGTGCAAGACATCATCTGCTGCATGAGCCAGGGTGTTCCTGTCTAAGCCCTTCCATGGTTGTGCGCCAAGTGATGCTTGCCCCAACCTGCACTTAGCGTGCTGGCTCAAATGCAGCGAGTCAAGCACGTCAAGATCTCAAGGTGTAGCCCCAAGACTTCTCCGGCTTCAACCTTTACAGCCTTCCTGGTCTAAAGCATGGCGGTATACAGGTGCATAATGTAGGGTTATATAGGGATACTGGAAAAGTAGAAACTACGATTTAGAGTGTAACCAGCTGAGAAGCTGAGACCTAAAGAGAACTTAGAGATCAAAGGGAGCTAGGCATACAAGACCAAGATGGCAGGAGGTGAAAAGTCTTCAACATTCAATGCAACAGAACTGTCGGCTGCCCTGCTGCGGTGTAGTACAAGCCCTAAAGCCCATTTCTGCCTATCAATTTTTGCTCTTGCCTTCGACATGTCCAGTTTCCGTAGCTGGCTGGGGGCAGCGGTGTGCTTCTTTGCTTGGATTCTTGCACACAGGCCCAGCGAGAGAATTTCATGAGCGAATGGCGTGATATGCACAGATGCCCGACTTCAGACTCAGAAGGCTGTAACCACGACATCACAGATAGGTCCCTGAAAATTCTTCAGTGCTTGCAAGGATGCGGAAAGTTGAGCGCTGCGCGGTACGCATTGCAGTAGGTTGACATGGATAGACAGTGTACAGTCATGTACAGTCATTATCATTATCAGTCAAGATTGAGACGAGAGAGATGTTGGAATGGCAAATTCGGGTTTCGGCGTGTAGGTTCCAAAGCAGAGAATACAAGGTGCCTCATTGTATCTACTCAGACCTGCTCAAAGCTTGTTCAAGTGGGACATAGTGGGACTGACTTGAGAAACCGAGTGATCGGGGATGAACGCTTGCACGGTCTCACACAATTTGTCTGGATTAACCTAGCCGACTTAGCCCATCCTGGCCCATCCGCATCAATCCTGAACAGATTCAGCGCTGGTTGGGCTGCGCCCAGCTTCGTGGCGCTTTTCCTGGCCGCCATCTACTTGTGGACTCATGGCGCAAGTTGAGGGAAATGCTAAACTGTAAACTATGGTGACTACAGCTGAACAGAAGCAAGCAGCATGGATATCCATTGTGGCCTGCCTGTCTTTGCACTTGCGCTGGCTGTCACATGCATGAAGCTGAGAGCAGAAGTTGGTGGCCTGCGGGCGGCAGTGCTTTCCTGCATTGGTACGTCTAGTGAGCTTAGTGGTTGCCTTGAAGGTGCGTTGTGCTGCGAGTGCCGCAGTTGGGCCGCGAACTGGATGAGGTGCTTCAGCCTACTTGGCCCAGGGTTTCAGGGCACCTAGCCCCAGTGCCTCATCCTCGGCATAGGTCTGTTCGTAACCGCTTGCAGCAGTTCTTATTTGCTTGACCAGGTTCCCAGGTTCGAGATTTCAAGTTGCTTTTGTGAGGTTAAAGCGGAGTTGATGGAAGAGCCGTTGCCCACAGCAGTGCCAGCTGGTGAGGTGGGGGGAGCTGCGGCGGAAACGGAGAAATTCAGGACACAGCTGCTTTCGCTGTTGCACCTAGATGCGACGCCAAGCAGGCGATGCCAGAGGCTCCGCTCACTGGTGAAGATGAGCCAGCTGCGTCCACCGCGCCTGCAGCAGCAACAGCTCCCACGGCTTCTCCTGCTGTAGGTGGCAGTTCAAGAGCTCGTCACGCACAGAACTGCTGTGAAAGCGCAGCTTGCCATGCTTGCAAGTCCCGGCAAAATTATTTCTGACCTGGAGGTAGCGCAGCCATCCCCGTCGATGGCGCAGAGGTACAGACTGAGGCTGGAAGGTGAGTTCTATGCAGACCAGTCCGAGATTTACCTTACTGCCTGCACTAGATTGCACTAGACTTGAAGTGGATCCCTGGAATGAAGGCTCCAGCTGCCGAAGACCTTGCATCGACACCACGCGTGGACTCTGCGCAGGCAGCTATCACAGGGACAGGAGTCACTTGTCAACCCTCTTGCTGTCGGGCAGTGGTGATTTGTGCAGTATTTCTCCGAACGCAGTCGTCGCCGTATGTGCTGCGCTGCACGATGGTGAAAGGTCAATGGCAGCTCAGCCAGTACAGATCACGACTGTATTGACAGAGAACCTGGAGATGATGTGCCGCATGTGCCGCCAGATGAGCTCGAGGTGACGGATGAAATGGAGGACCCAGTCAAAGCCCAGGAGCTCCGAATCGAAGGCAACGAAAGCTTCAAGGTTCGCCGCCTATTTCTGTCGGGACATGTCGAGATGTGCTGGCACAAAACCTCTTTGCCATTTTCTTGGCTAGGTTAAGTCTAGCAAAGTTCTGGTTGCTGGCCCTAAGGCTGGTCGAATCTACGAGGCTCGTGAAGCCTACTCGGAGGCTTTGCACCTTAGTCCGCCAGCCGGCGAGGCTGGCTCAGAGCCCAGCAAGGATGGGGGGGGGGGCGAATCATTCCATAGCTTAAGAAGTCCCTTTGCCCGACCCTGATCAAATTCTGCGTTCAGTAGGCCAAATCCTCCCTATATCATGTCATGCCCTTGTGGTTGAAGTGGCAAGTCCGTGCTGTTTTTGATTGCTACATTCTTGGATAAGTGGCAGTTCTTGATATTCTTGCCTGATATTGCCTGTGCCCGGACGGATTTCCATGCATGAGCAGGACCGCGCTGTATTGCATTGCAACCGAGCTGCCTGCCTCCAGCGCTTGGGTCGCTGGGATGACGCTGTGAAAGCTTCCCAGCTGCCTCTATGACACAACGTAGCAGCATGCATCGCGCGAGCTTTGCTCAGCTTGAGACCGTGTGGCAGTGGTACAGAATCAGGCAGGTCCGAACTGTTTAGCGCATGATTTTCTTATCTGTGGCCACAACGAGCTCATGGATCTGCATAGCACGAGCGGCTTCAGGATTGCTCCGAAGCCGTGAAGCTTGACCCGACGCCCGCAGACAGCAGATAGAGTAGCATACTGAGTGCGTGACTTGCGCGCGTCGTGTCTTGCTTAGCTGTGAGATCTGCAGGTATGTCAAAGCCTATGCAAGACGCAGCACCGCGTACGAGGAGTTGAAGCGCCACTCGATTCCAAGTCCTTGCCCGCTAAAACCCAGATGGGCGAACTCCAGATGAGCAAACTTGTGCATATGCACCCGTGTCTACGAAGCAACTTGGTAGGCCCTGTCGTGCACGCAGAGGACTCCTTGACTCCTGGGGTTGTTCTGACTTTGTCAACAATTTATTTAGACATGCCAACTGCCAAGGATGGCATGACTCCTTAGAGGACCTCAAGAAGGTGGGTTGACGTGATACCTGTCATGACAACTTAGCATTCGCCAAGCTCGGAAGCTGAGCGCAAAGATACTTTTGCAGCAGGCCATCGAGTTGGAACCAGACCTTCGAGGGAAGGACACGCACAGGGGTCAACAGAATTTCACCAATGCCAATGGCAAACAGGGTTCCCGACATGTCGGCCTGCTGCTGGAGCCGTGCTGCTTTTAGCAGTAGTTGTTGCCGTGCCCTAAACCGCATGACCTTGAACGCACGCAAGTGCAGAAGGATTGCTATAGAAATTGCACATCACGTACAGAGGCACAGCTGCATTTGGCCAGGAGAGTCGTCGCATGGCAATGCTTGAGCAACGAGCCCAAGAACAGTTTCTTGGCGCACTGCGAAGTCTGGTATATGTAACCACGGGCACACATGAGGCTGCAGCGTGTTTTGAGGCAGTGAACCGGTTCTCAGCCCCAAGCATCCTGCGATAAGCCGCAGAACTCCTGGTCCAGCTGAGGTTTGAGAAAGACAAGGACGAGATGCTGTCGAAGCTTAAGGAGCTTGGAAACTCAGTTCTTGGGAGCCTCGTCAAGTCACCAAAATACAACTCTTAATCGGCAAGTGCTGTTTCCGTGGAGTAGAATCAGCATAGCCCAGGAAGTTCGGAATGTCCACCGACAACTTCAAGATGGAGCAAGACCCAGATACTGGCAGCCGCTTGACCTCAGCATGGCTGCGCTCGACTTTAGGAGAGACCGGTAAAGAGCGCCAAACAGCAGGATTCCACTTGACCCCGGCCCTTCTTGAGTCCTTGTGTTGTATCGCAGGAAGTCAGCGTATCAAATTGCCTGGCTTTTGCACTGTGCGTTTTGTCCTATGTGATGGTCGGAAGAGCCGAGGCTACTCCATCAAGTTTCAAAGCTGAGCTTGCAAGCGGTAGAGTGAATCGCTTCCAGAAGTGTTGCGAGCACGCAAAATCTTTGCGGCCCTGCCTGTTTCCAGATTCATGGTTCAGCTTAGGGTGCATTATTCATGGTTTTGAGGGTGGCGCTTCTCCAGCAGGGCAGGACATGCGGGGAGTCGGCATTCGGATGTAGAAAGGTGAGAGCACAGGCACTAGGGCTTGAAACTCGTTGCTTTATGCCTGGCAAGGCCGTTTCTGGATGTCATGGGCCGACTTCTGCTCTGTTTTTGATGCCGTCGAGACGTGCCCCATGGAGTCTGCAGTTCGCAAGGCGGGATATTCGACTGGCTACATTGCACTTTTCTCCATGCTCGAGCATGGACTGGGAACCACTCGATCGCGTGTCACGTGTTGTCGACGCAGTACTGTTGCACATCCGCCATGACTTTCGTGCTAGCTTTGCTCCAATCAAAAAGGCGGGGTTTGTAAAGAAGTTTGGGCGGCCATTCCATGACATAGGCTTGTGATAGAATCTCCCGGCTTGCGACCCTTTGCGACAAGGTTTGTTGTGGGGCATATCTGCGCAAAGCATTTGCGACAAAGGTATATGTAGCAATAGGCCGCGACAAAGGAGTGTGAACGGGGTCGGGACGGTTACTTCGCACTGGCCTGATCGTTGCTGAGGCTTCATGTCGCCGGTTGTTGCATGTTGCGGTGCATTGCGTCCTGCTTTCAACCTGCTTCGGCCCGACTGCTGTTGCGCAAAGTATACAGACATATCACCCTGCAGGCATCATACGCGCCATTGAATCCGCGACCACGCCTTAAGCGAGGCAGCGAGACTGGGAGCTCCTTCTTGAGACTCTGGAGGCCTCAGACATTGTGCAATTCTGTAGCGTGGTTGTTGAAGCACTGATTGCTGTAACCTTCACGCAGGTGGCAGCGTTGCGAAGTGGAGCGCGGCTCTTGAGCTTCAGAGGGAAAACAATGTCTAAGCTGGAAGCTGGCTTTTTTGCCTCTGAAGCTCGCTGCGGCATCGCAGCACTCTTTGACCAGTGGGGCCTGAAGAATCACAGTCTCCTCTGATCTGCAACACAGCACCAGCCGGGCCAAAGACAGCTCGGTAGAGGGCGAAGACCCTGCCAAAGATGCAGCTTCTTTTGTCATGCGACCACAAACCAAAGCAGACAGAAACGCAGAGGTAGAGCCAGCAGCAGCTTCTGGAAGGATTATATGGTAGTTTCCCCAATATAGGGGGACTCCAATATCGACCCCCAAAATGCTATAGTCCATATTATGGGGACCCCCAAAAAGGTTACCTCTAATTTTGGGAAACCCTAATCCCTATAAACCCCTATATACCCACAGTTTCCATTTCATTTTCCATTTTCTGTTCAATTTGATTCTCCATTATTGGGGTAAGATTTCTATACATCCCTATAGTATACACCCTATGTGTGTCCCTATAGTATTAAACCGTATATGTCCGTGCAGTATAAACCTTCTGTATCCCTATATCTTGTCTGCTCAGAGGACCACCGGCCGCCTCCTCTCGCGGAGCTCTTGTGGGGAACTTGGAGAGAGGTTCTTCCGTCTCGCACAGATCTGAGGCTTTGGGGGGGGGGGTAATTCTGACCATCTCTTGAGGGTCCGCATAAAATGGACTCTAAAATTTTGAGGGTCTATATTGGGGTCCCCCAATTTTGGGCAATTACTATATTATCCAGCATGAAATTCTGCGTTGTAGATGGTCACGCCGTGATGACTTCAGCACATTTTGGTGATGAGTATGTGGAGCACGAGGCGGGAGTTCCAATTCTGCGTTTCCTTGCGAATCAGTACAGCAAACTAAAAGTATCCTCCTCCTCCGGCGATTGAAGAATGCATAATGATAATTACCATAAGAGTGCAGGCAGGGCCTTTCATTCAAGCTCCATTGTTCCAAGGCGCTTTTTAGATGTGGCGCAGGCCAAGTCAGTTGGGATGGCACAAAGCACGAAACGCTGCATTCTGATTCAGTATGTGAAAGACCTCCAAGTCTTCTGTGGTGCTTAAGCTGCAGCCACGCTGTATCTCTCAAACCAAGCTGATCCACACAAATGCTCTGAGCTGCCATGCTAAGAGATTTTCCAAGGTTAGTGCCACGCGTGCTACAGTACAAGTGCTTGGTTTGATTGCAGGTCTGGGCTGCGAGGTGCAGGCAAGGTGGAACTCTTGTTGTGTGGATGTGATGGGCCGGAATCAGTGTGTAAGTTGTGGCGATTGCTGCCTGCGGCTCGCTTGAAGAGTCATATTTCATATGAGCTATAGTCTAATATAGAGGATTATATAGGGGACTATTATAGGGCTTGATAGGGTGGATACTAGGAGGTTTGACTATAGCTCATAAACAAGTAGAGGAGCGCAGTCGCCAGGCAAAATGTTACCGCGGTGCATTGCCGCGGTGGAAAGGCTGGACAGCAATGGTCAGCAGACGAGTTGTTCAACAAAATAATTAGCCGTAGCTATAATTGAACCTTCATGAACCTTCTGCAGCTTCTCATACTCGTAATGTCCGTTAACCTTTTTCCTGCTTCCGCTTGCTTTACCATGTCCTTTAAGTGCCTGTTGCAGCTACGCACAGCGTGGATCATATTCGTCCCAGGGCCGCACTGGCTGCCTGTGCTGCTCATGGCTGCTCTACACAAAGGCAGACTCCTTTCTATTACTAGTACAACTGATTGTGAGCATTATTACTACTACTATTTTTATTACTAGCACTACAATTATACAGGTTGAAGCCAAAACTTTGGGGTCGCTGCCCGCATCCTGTGATTTTTCCCACCCACTCTATCAGTGTGATATTTAAGTGCTGAGCCTGCTAGACCGCTAGCCCTGAGGGACAACAGCCTTCATGCTAAAGTGCTAAGCTTAGACCTCTGGCTGTTCATGCATGGAAAGGGGCGCATCTAGATACTGTGCATTTTGCATGCTCCTGTTTGGGAAACGCAAAAGGAGGCAGAGGATGCTGAAGATGCCCTGAATTTCTTCGCGTTGCGAAGGCTGGCCACTGGGATTACAGCTGTTGTGTGCTGATAAGCCAAAAGAATCTGTATGTGCTTCGCGACATGATGTGTGTGTTAGGGCAGCGTTAGGGCGCTGCTCAAGGAACTACGGGTAGAAATTTGCTACTCCAAGCCTGGCGCAGAGGACTGATCTCGAGAAGAAGCGCTTGTCAAAGGCCGGATCAGGGCCGTGTGGGCGATGATGTTAGTATTATTGCTATTACCTTTATCATGACTATGGCGATTCGATTGTTTTACCATTACTTCTGTTTACTTTACTACGGTTATTTCTACCAAGAGTATTGCTATGTATTACTATTCTTGATATTATATTGTTATTGTTCTTACCATAGTCACTAGTAGGGCTGATCTTGGCTCGGCCAATCTTGAATGGTCAACCAAGCATGCCTCACCAAACCAAGTCTGCCTGTGCTGTTGGTGAGCAGGAGAAAAACTCACTGCAGTTCCTGCAGGTACAAGGAGTTGAGACGCCCTCGCAAGTGCGCTATGTTGGATATGCGCGCAACTTACTTGCCCGACCTCATGCTTCAGCAACCAAGAGTCAGGGCTCCAGCGAGGTCGACAGTTTGCTGCGCGAGCAGACTGCGTCAGCGCCTCTAACTTTTCAACCTGCTCAGCCTGCTTTCAAGTGTGGATCCGAGCAATGCCAAAGCTTGAAATTCGGGCATCTTTCTCGTAGATTTTCTTGACTCAGTCATCGTGCAAGTGGGGAGCCTGCCGGTCTTCAGGTATTTTCCGTCGCCAGTCAGCATGCCACAAGCGAAGCAGGCGCAGCCATCTCCAAAAAAACAAGTCAGAGACTAGCATTCTGGTCGCATCCGACTGAGCCATTATTCTCGCCTGGAAAGGTGGTGCTGAGCAGCGTCCGAGCAGCAGAGTTTTTCACTGAGCAGTTCGAGCAGCAGCATCAAGGCCTTCAAGCAACTCTGGTGTGATTACCTTCAGCTCGCTGGCTTGCTGCAAAACATGAGAAGCTTCAATGATGCTAATGCAGCTTGAATCGCGTACCTAGTGACTGGTGATGTCGGATGTCGCCTATGTCATGTGCAGGGTACCACCTCGTGGCAGTCCTCCAGGACAGCTGGGCTGCTGCTTTTCACTTCCATTGTCGTGACCATGGCGAGATATTGGGAGACGCCTTGAAAATGATGCCAAGAGACCGCAGCTGCTGTGTTCTTTCATTTCCCTCAAGACAACTTTCAGGATGCGTGCACCGGACGAAACGTTGGCTCATGTCTCGGGCAGAGCAGTGGGAACTCGAAGGTGCCGGCTGCCTCGAAACCAAGCTTAGTCTCATCTTGCCATAGACTGGCCAGGTATGGCACTTTGGTGCTGCTCGCATAGGCTTGAAGCTAAGCCTGTTCAGACCAGAAAAACACCTGTAGGCCCTGTGTTTGCGTTTTCTTTCGCCCCACGAAAATGCTTCCATTCATTGGTGGAACTGAGGTGGGGATATTGGGCTTCTGGTGCTGCTTGCCCGCAAGCAGAGGGTCAACGTTTGTTTGGCGCTGTAGCACGAGCGCAGCCAGAGATGCCAGAGCCAGAACAAGTCCTACATGGGTTTTCGTAGTTGGTTTGCAGGAGAGTTCAGCGTACACCTTCTGCACCGTTTGGGATGTAACCTAACCTGCTTGCTTCGGCCCATCGCCTGTCCAAGAGCCGCCTGCTGTCTGTTTCGGGAGAGCAGATTTTCACCGCTGCAAAGCATGTAAGGTACACATGTCATCCCACGACGCTTCCAGTGGACAAGGATCAGGCTCACGACGTCTTTTCTGAGAGGTGAGAGGCCTACTATAGCCCAGGCCTGCTCTCCTGCACAGGCTGCAGCTCTCATCTCGGAAGGAGCATGGCAAGGCCCTGTTCCTTCGGGCCTCATCTTAATGCAGTGTCCAGCAGTTGCACAAGCTGGCAGGGAGCCCACAAAGGGATCGGAATGCTTACTGTGCATGCCTGCGTAATGGATAGGTGTTTTCCCAACATGCAGGCTTAGGCTGGTCTCATTCGTTTCCGCCCCCGCAGCCTCATACTTTCTCGCATGCCGTATTATGGCTTTCGCGGCTGCCACTAGCATGCGAAGCATGACAACGATGGGCAAAGAAGTTGGATTGCTGCGCAGGATCTCGAAAGCTCAAAGAAGCTTTCAGTTGTTTTGCCGGGTGCTCAGACTCGGCTGCAGAGAAGCAGCCCGCGCTGGGCCCAAGCAACTTCGATACACACAATGTTCAGACATGAGGACTGAATCCTATCATACTGTGGAAACGCTGCACGATGCTTGTGGGTAGCGGCGGGAGATTTGAAACACGATCCTGGTCAACCTCATCTCAGATCCACGTCAATTTTTTGCTCGGCGATCTCCTGGAGATTCCAGCGACAGAGGTAGACCAGGCTGGCTATCTTGCTTCCTTCTCGTTTGATCACTCGTGTTGCAGTCCTGTTCGTGCACCACACAGGATCGATGACGTAGTATTCCAATCCAGCGGTGCGTGCATTCTCGGCTCGGGGCAAGAGCTTAGTAATCGCTCCGTCAGGCCTGCAAGCAACCTGGGCTGTTTCACCCAAAAGGCACCCTCAGCTTGGTTTACAAGCAAGCCTGAGATGGGATTTGACGGCAATGCGCAAATGCCAAAATGGAAGCTGCAGCTGATTGTCAGCGTGCAGAAGTAAGACTGTTGCGGGGATCGGTTTCTGGCAATGCCTTTCACGATTGCAGCGAGAGAAAGGGAGGGACAGAGAAAGAGCAAGAGAGACATGTTCCATTTAAAAGGGTTTAGTTCCGGTCCTGCTGGGAACTGAGACCGAACTTTGCGGATTCGGGGCCTAGTCCCAGCAGAGCTCAGGGGCTCTTTAGAACCCATAGAAGAAGAACAAGAAGAGAGACATGTAGTCCTGACCTGATCCTCCTGGGTACCGTGGACGGACGCTGCGCCATGCGGCTCCGGGGTGTCCCCCAGAAGGGCAGTAGTGCCCTCTATAGCTGAGAGAAGAAGAAAGACGCCCCGTAGCATCAACGTTTCACGCACACCAAACTTGAACTGCACAGACCGGGGGACCCTAAGGCCCAGCACCCCCGCATAGCAAAGCAAAGCAAAAGACACCCCGACGCGCCCACGGCATGCGATGACATGTGCAGCGCAGAGAAGGAGAATAAGAAGAACAACAAGAATAAAAACAATGATAAGAAGAGAGAGTTACATCGTTTTTGTAGTTGACCGTGAAGATGTTCTGGAAACCGAGGTGCAAGGTACAACTTATGTACCGCAAAGTGAGATAGTCGTAGATTTCATCAGTTGGTGCGCAAGGCATTCGACCCGAATTGCAGGAGGTGAGACGGATTTGAGTTTGGAATGCTCTCACAGTCACGGTATTAGGATCTTAGGGAAAGCGGGTCGGTCCTCATGTAAGGGCATCAAGTCCAAGCCAGGTAAAACGAGATCATACGAGAAGGTCACCCCAAGATTCTCAGAGTATGTAGAAGAATGAGATAGAACGAGATTGCAGCGCGTCGATTGATGCTTAAATGAGCCAAGCACAGTCATTGTTCATGCTTGGCGGTTAGTTTTCAATACGAAGCATCACGCACCGCCGAGGAATCTCCTTTTTCGGGGCGGGTATGCACGCTTGGGGACCTTGGCCAACCAAAGCAGACCAATGCAAAGCGCGAGGGAGACAACATCGCGGCCTTGGCTTTTGTTACCGCGAAGCTCAGTTCCGATGCAACGCTTGGTTAGTCCTTGTCCTTCCCTTCTTTCTACCCACGATGGGCACAGCAGTTGCCGGCGGCTTGGTGGACCCCTAGCTGCCATGGCCTGAACCTAAGAAAGAAACAGGGAGAGAGTCACCTCGCACACGAGAGGCCCAGGGGATCCGACCCCTGCCTCGGCTGCAGAAGCGGGGAGCTCGACGGGACCACCTGAGAGAGAAGATGCAGATAGGAGCCGAAGCAGAGGACGAGCAGCAACAAGCCGAGAGGCACCAGGGGGGCACAGGACTTCCCATGACATGTCCGGGCCGGACGGCCACTGCTACGATCCCCTTCGACTACAAGAACTACCATATTTAAACGTTCCCCAGCACCAAGCCCTCTGGCTTCAGATACTGGAGGCGGTGGACGAGCCGCAAGGCAGTGAGCTACAAGAACTAGCAGCCCGACCACCTGGACCGGAACCCATCGCGGTAGAAATCGCAGCAAGGGTCAGGCAAAGGGCCATCAATGTACTGTCGCAGATGGATACTAGGGAAACCCTGGCGACAGTCCTGGGACTTAACTCCGCGATGCAGTTCATCCAGCAGGCACTCCAGGAACTCATCTATGACAGGGTGGACTACCTCGACAACGCTGCGGAGAGCAACAACCAAGCTGGAGCTCGGGAGGAGAGCGCTGAAGAAGAGGAAGAGGTGCAGCTAGAGGAAGCAGAGGAGACGGCCATGGTACAAAGCGGCCCAGGGAGAATGACGAGGCCCAACCCCACCTGGGAGCCACTCGGCCAGGAGGACAGAGCAAACCTTGAGCGGCTCCTGCGAGAAATCCTCCCACAACAGGCCGATCCTGAGCCAACGTTGTTTGCACTGGCGCAGCTAGGTGCGAGCCCGCCCGTCCTCTGCCAACTTGGGGGAGAAGACGAGGAGGAAGGAGAGCCGAGCCCTCGGAGTGTTGAGGCCTGGTTTGGTGCGCCTGCTGTGGACGACGCCGGCGGTGCTACTGCCACGACTGATAGCCACCCTGCTCGGGCTACAAGGACGACCCCATGTGGATGGGACTAGAATGCAGAGCCTGGCTAAAGAGTTCCAGCAAACACCAGGGGAGACTGCCCTTTTCAACAGCTGGACCGATACAAGCGACTCTGGGTTACTCCTGGAGACGCTTAAACGACTGTCGGCAATAAGCCACCGCAGCCAGCTGATGGCGACAGCGCAGGCTATCAGAGGCCCGAGAGGAGATCCGAGGGATAGACCGGATCGTGGAACCCAGCTGACCCTCACCAAGGCGTGGGAGAGGGTCTCAGACTGCGCTGCGCCAACAGCAGAGCCATGGTGCACGGCAGAAGAGCCCCAGACCCAGCACAGCAGTCGTGGCCGGCAATGGGGCCGGAAACCCGGGGGGCAGCCCTGGACGCCATCCTGGAGGCGGTGCCGGCAACGATCCCTAGAAGGGTCGCCCCTCAGACGGCAGCGTTGTACAATCAAGTCCAAGCACCCCGGCCGCCGACAGAGCTGCTAGGGCTCCGCATTGCGATGCGACAGAGGGCAACGGAGCAAGGCACGGAGACAACCAAGGAGACTGTGCAGGAGGCCCAGAGCGAAAGCAATGGGACAAGCAGCGAGGGCAAGCAGCAAGCAGAAGGAGAACAGACCGAGGCGGCGGCCGAACCGCCGGTGCTTACCAGGGCATGCAGGCGCCAGCTTTCCACTATACCGACCCAAGAAAGAGAAAAGAAGAGGAGGCAAGAGAGGGCCCCATCGAGCAGCGCGGGAAGCCAAACACAGCCAAGAAGAAGACAGGGACAAATCCCGCATCGAAAGCAGAAGACGATTAGGCAGATGCAGGCGGAGACGGCCACAGTGGAGCCGGTTGACCTGGAGGAGGAGGAGCCAGCAGGCAGGAAGCACAACCAAGCAACACAGACAGGGGCAAGGAGACGAATAGCGGCAGAGGAGCCGCAAAATGAAACGATAGCCCGACAGGATGATTGGCGGCAATGGCTCCCACAGGAAGAAGGACAAGTGCAGGAGGGCGAGGGAGAAGCCGAGGGTGAGGAGAACATCGGCCTGCATGAGGCAACCACGCAGCCATATACCGGGTGCAACAGGCCGGAGCCAGGAGTGTGGGGCCCCAACCAGGTGCAAGGAGCAGATGGCAGGCCCAGGGCCCCGACGAGCCAGGAGAAGGCATGGATGGAAGAGTATGAGCGGGAGAAAGAGGAACAGCAGCGAATGGATGAGCTGCTGGCCGACTTCGAGGAAGAGGAGCTGCTCGAGATAGCCCGCCAGGAATATGAAGAAGAAGAACTCCGCAAGGAGGTGGCAGCGGCCAACACAGAGTTCGATAGTGAGTCCAGCTGAGCAGGGCATATAGGGAGCGCTCGAAAGCATGATGGTTGCCTGTATAGCGCGCAGTTTCCCAAGGAGAGTCTAGGGTGGTCAGGTGCTCCTTTAGTATGCAGAGGGCTTGCTTGGAGTGCTTTCCAGAGCGGTTTAGCACCAGGTCCGCAGGTGATACAGTGGAGCTGATCACCTAAAGGTGCGCCAGGTGAGGGGCAGTCAAGAGCTAGTGCAGTGTCGTCTTTGATTAGCTGGCTTTGTGTAGCGTGCACCTTGAGCGGTCCGTTGCATTTGCTGACGCCCCCGCCGCAGCCATTTTGCATGAAAGTCCTCTGGCAACCCCGAGTGACTTGAATGAGTGCAAGACAAGAGCAGCCCTGGGCGCCTCTCGAAAGAAGAAAGTGAAGACTGACGCTGGACCCATCGGGAGGGGGTCTCTCTTTAAGCTGTTTGCTTCATAGTTACCCGGGGGCCGGAGCACTCTGTACAGGATGGAACGGCATCGGAGAGCTGCAAGAGTTGGAGCAAGAATTACAAGTCCTTGTCCTGTAGTGTAGTGTCCTAGAGTGGTGTGTTGTCCTGTGACCCTGGGTCGCCTAGTGAGCTCCTGCTGACAGCATTTGTCTGGCACTTTGTGTAAGCAGCAGAGGGCTGACAGACGCATCGTGGCCAGTACAGACCGGGGCCAATTCCAGTCTCACAGCTCCCTGGAAGGATGGGCGATAGCTGGGCTTTAGCATTTGGTTACCTTATGAGATTTGTGGGCATGAGCTATCCTGGGATCCTCGGGAGTACCGACTGACCTGCCTGTGACAGAGGGTGGGGAGCAGGGCTCCCGGGCAGCCATCGGGCTGTCCATCACCCTTAAAGAAAGAAAGAAAGAGCCAAAAATGGAGAGAGAGCACGAAAGAAAGATAGAACATAAGAAATACTACTCCGGCTATGCACCTGAATAGCCCCTATTGTGCTGCCCTATATCCTATATAATCCCCTATATAGCCCCCTTAACCCTAAATCCGGTGCACTTCAACCCGGATAGTTCCTGGCGCTGCTTCGACCATGCAAGTGGCAAAGCCCAGCGCACTTGCCGGCAGAGACATACTTGATTGAGGTTTTCTAGTGTTGTGGAGTTCTAGCCTTCAATCGTCATCATTCCTCAGCAGAGCGCCTTGAAACTGGCAAAGGCTGTGTGACTCGATGCGGTCACAAAGCCTAAACTCAGAAGTTTTGCTGGTGAACCGAGAACTTGCCAAGGCATGCTTTTGTGCGGTTTATCAGAAAGATGACAGCAAACGCTTTGCAAATTGCTTTCCCCTACCGCTAGGTGGCCGTTTTTGGATCCAAGTGAAAACAGGTTGCCATGGCGTGCATCCCCAGAGCATGTACGTAGCACCTAAAACATGCATCCCTGATTCGGATGACCTTAAGGTAAACGTTTGAAATCTCATCTGGGCTTGAGAGGGCGGAGCTAGTTAGTTGCTGAGCGATGACCGGGCGCGCGGCCATTTACGCGTAGAGCACATGGCGGTCAAGGACTTCTGGCCTGAATTGGCGGCCTAAGAGCTGTTGCTGAGCGTTTAGCCTGTGCAGCGCTGCAAACGGGTTTTATTTCATGTGCTGCCAGTGGCCTTACCTGCAGCATGAGCATGAAAGCTTCATTGAGAGGAGGAGCCAGAAGATGGAGGCTCAGGCAGTCGGCTCACGGGCGAGTGCGGGTATGATGGCCACCTTGTATCCACCTTTTTGCATGCTGCGGCATGGCTGAGCCAATTTTAGACTTTGCAAGCTCCGATCTAGACCCTTCAGGCCGCTGTCAGCTTAGTAGTAATTTCTTTGGGGATACAATGGTGCCCAATGTGACTAACACTACTTTGGCCTATGCTCCCCCTGAAGTAGATAGAATACCGGAATTGCCCAATCATAGCAACATCCCCATATACCCTATGTTCTATCTACTCCAGGGGGACTATACCTGTCAGCCTGGATGTCAGCTGCTCTTGTAGCGACCAGGCTTGGCCTCTACTTCGGCCTCAGTTGCAGAGGTCTCGGAACCTTGAAGATACACGGTTTTTGCTGGGTTGAGGTTAAGGAACTTAATTCAAGTTTAATGGGCGAACCAGTATTAATTGCTATTTATACTCGTTATGGTAGCTGAGTTTAAGCTCCTCAACAGCAACCCAGTCAGTCCCTGACGTGCTCCTCTTTAAGCTAGACTTCAAGATATTCTTAAGTCCTGAAGGGATGGTTCGAGATGATTCTCGCAAGTGAGCTACTTGTCAGTATGGGGCCAGCAGGACATGATTCTCACAAGTCTGCCAAGTCTGCTGCTTCCAAAGGTTAGAGAACAGGTCCACACGCTTTGTTTTTTTTGCTCTCTTTTGTGCCTCAGCCTTTATGGCTAGTACGGCGCGGGAAGGGATAGCAGACGGGATGTCTTCACCACTTCCCGCGTTGCATCTGCCATGCTCTGTACAAGCACGGCCGGGCCTGCAGCGCAACTGGAGGCAGACATGCCGGTGCGAGCAGAAAATTGTTGTGTTGCGCAGGGCTTGTATAGTTTCTTACTTATGCCACAACGTCATTCTCGGCTCCAGGCGTTGCGTAGTTTTTTGTTCCGGCCCAGTTCGGTAAGTTGAACGCCAGCGAATGGTGAGCCGCGCTGGCCTTGCATCTCTCAGGGCGCTTGTCACTTGAAGCATGCACAAGGAAGTGGCTGAGCATTTTTCAGCGGACCTCCTTGCAGCTTGCGTGGCCGATGGCAAGGGAAGCTGCTCCAGGACTGCCAGTCGAGAGAATCCCTGCCATTGCCATGCTTATTCAAAGGAGGGTTGAATACGTTCTGCTTCTAAAGACTTATCTGTGGAATGCCTTCAGGATACTGGACATGGTGCACAAGGCAGAGCAAGCCGGTTGCAGCCCGCATGAGCTCCGCGTGATCTATGCATCGGCTGTGGAAGTTTATCCAAAGGCCAGGGACAAAAGCAGCTAGTGAGCTAATAGTTGCTTATGCCGTGCTGTGGCTTGTGCTGTGGCCCCTACTCTCCTAGGCGGACGATGCTGGTTATCGCGAGCTCTGTGTCAAGTACATGCTTCTTCTGTGCGAGCTGGATACCAATGAAGCACGCGAGTTTCACAACAGGCAACGTGCGTTCGGCATAACAAGCGATGCTAGGATGTACGTGGCCCGCGCTCATCTCGAGGAGCGGGAGGGCGATTCGGCAAAGGCATTGAAGATTCTTCAGGAAGGACTCCGCATAGGAGCTGGGCCAGCTGACATACTGACGAAGCATATTGCAGCGTTGCACATGCGGCTGTCACCAAAGCAGGGCAATGCAGAGATTCAACAAATCCTGGAGCCACTGGAAGCACGCGCCGACGCTCATGACAATGCCATGGAAATTGAGGTGGAAGGCATGTCAGACATTGCTGCAATCAAAGGAACCCCTCTGACAGGCACAAGTTCACGGATGGAGGGCCCAAGTCAAACAGACAAGGCATTTGGCAATAAAACCTCAGGTCGAGATGGGGTGCGCGACCCCTCGGTTCACACATGCCTGCGGCGCTGGCTGCGCATTGAGCAGAGACGCCGCCTGCTGAACTGCCTAGCTGGTTGGAAGCGCCTGGTGGAGTTGTCTGCGCAGGTGCGACGCGAAGCGTTGTTCGATGCCTTGCGCAGGCAGCTGGAATCAGCTCAGAGGCGCTGCAGCGCTGTAGAGCATTGCTTTGCCAAGGCTCAGTCACATGAGCTGATGAATTGGATTCGGTCGGGGCTCAAGGCCTGGCGCTCCTTAGCGCAACTCTGCAATCAGCGGAAGAAGCTGGCAAATGCAGCATACCAGGATGTTGTGCGTCACCATGCAAGCCTGGTGCTTTGGAGTTGGCAAAGGATTTGCCTTGCAGCTGAGGAAGGCGTCAAAAGCATACATAGTGCAGCTGTGCCAGAGCCCACTGCTTCCTTGGACAGTCTGTTGGTGGACTTCTGTCCTGGCTGCAATGGGGGTGGCAACAGTACAGAGGTTTCAGCGGCTTCTGAGCATCCAGTGTTGGCTGAGCTTTGTGAAAAGCCTGCAGCCGGTAAGCCAAGCGGTGTCGTTCCAAGAAGCCGTTCTCCGGAGCGGCTGCCACTTGCGAGCGTCGCAATGCAAAACGCACGCTTGCTATCTGCAGATGTAGATGAGAGCAAGCGCAAGCGTGGACCTGAGCGATTTTTCTATGATACCTCGAGCTACACTGGCTGCGCAAGATATGGCGGGCCAATGATAATAGACAAGAAAGAAAACACGGCCGGTCCGGCAGCTGCAGCAGCAACGAAGGCAGCTGGCCCAGCCAATTGCAGCGCAAAGCCCCAAGGTCAAGCTCAAGCTCAAGCCAAACGCAACAAGCCCTTCCTACCAAGATGACTTGCCTGCAGAGAGCTCCAGATCCACAGCGTGCTTGTGGTGGCAGGAGTAGATACGGACTGCTGTGCTGCTTTTCCTTCAGCACTGGCGTCTCACTGTGACTTACGAGACATCTCCAGATCTGAGGCTAAGCTTCGCAGACCATTAATTCACAGTCCCTGAGGCTGCTGGTGTTTCAGTAATTGAGTGCATGCAAACCAACCGCAGCTGCCCATGCTGCTAACACAAAACGTGGCTGACAAGGTGTTACTTCAGAAGCTCAGATGGACCTGCCCAGTGGCAATGAAGTTCTTGCCTGTGTGTCTTGGGAGTCAAAGTCAGGCGCAGGCACTGCTCTCTACTGCCCAGCCTTCTCGTTGGCTGCGGTGCAATGGCCGCAGGCCTTGCTGGATGGTCTTTCACGCAGGCCCACTCATCCTGCCACTCGCATATGGTTTCAAGCGTCAGCTGACGTCGACAAGATCTTCTGCTGCTAGGCCTCTGGTAGAGCTCGCAACTCGATGGAGCCTCGCAGTGGCCGTGGTGCTGTTATGGAGCCGGCCGTGGAGCCGGTGGCCACAGGTGCGTAACAGAGTTCATGCTGCATGTGCTCATGAAGCCATGCACCTGTGTGGAAAAGCGGCTTTTGCCTTCCCAGGCCCAGCATCAAGCCCGGACATGCCGCAGTTTGAGCCCAGAGACGTCGGCAGCGCGGAACAGCTTCCTGTCCGCAGTTGAAGTGCCGTTTGAATCTCAATCGTGGTCAGGCAAAGGTGCTAGCTCCTTGCGTCAAGGTTGTAATGCCTGATTGTCTCCGTCTAGGTAGGAGAGACAGCTGTGATCCGAAGGATCTCGGGTAGGATGTTCGGATCTGAGGCTGATGTTGAGCCGCATGCCGGAGGGGCATCTTGCATGCATTTTCAGCTACTGTGCTACCTGCTTCCACTTCTGTCAGCATAATGGGCCACAAGGCTTAGTTACCCGATCAGAAAATCAGTCACACATACGTCCGGCTCACTGCTGTCCCCAGGCACATGATCACAACCCACACCTCCATGGCCTTACTGGAGGGCGGCCAGGCTGCATTCACAACGGCAGCAGTGTCTTGGCAATGGCTGCGCAGATGTTTGTCAGAATCGTGGCATTGTTCTTGCTACAGAAATGACATGGTGCGTACAGTCTGAAAGGGGATCCATAAAAACGAGAAGCAACTTAACTCATCGCATTGTCGGAGGTCAGGTGTCTCCCGACCGCCTCAAGGAGGCGAGGTGATGCACCGGTTACATGCAGGTTGCCTGCACTTTCAAGGGCAATTATGCTGTGGGCACATGGAAAAATCAGCAACCCTCTGTTCCAGGGCATATTTAGTGTCAGTTGGGTGAGTTAGATTCTGATAGTTAGATTCATAGACCTTGACAGAGGTCTCGAAGCCTTGAACTGCTCGCAGGCGTTGTCCTGGGCAATCCTGCGGCACCCAATGATGCGGGCAATAGCCCGTGAGCCAACAGTCCTAGCGAAGGACACAGGCCTGAATTCTACTGCTTGGATAGGGGATTCGGGCCGCGGGGTTCGTTTCAACAGCTGTAGACTGTAGAGCGCCCAAGTGGACTGCCCCTCTTATTCTGACTTGCCAGCACAACCTGCAAGTGTCCGCGCAGGGCCTTTCTTTCACGGAGGCCAGGATGGCAGGCCATACCATGGGATATACCATGATATAGTATATTATACTATACCATACTATATTACAGTACATTAAATGATATTATGCCAGATTATGCGATGAAATACTATAATTAGCACTGTAGATTATAGTATAACATATTGTTTCAAACTACATTTTGCTGTATGATGGTAGATAGATTATAGTATAACATATTGTTTCAAACTACATTTTGCTGTATGATGGTAGAAAAGACTCCACGAAGATCACCCTTTGCTCATAAGATTGGCAGGTGGCGCTGGGAGCCCACAGGTCTTAGCAAGGAAGAGCTGCTGGGTTGCTGTTAAGGAACTTAAGTTAAGTTACCATAATGTGGGTACATGGGGTTTTGGGGTTTAGGGTTTTAGGCCCTAGTAACCCTTGTTGTGGCCTGCAAAGCAGTCATGTGCCTGGCATCGAGGGGACCAGATGCAGAGGGGATACCATAATATGGGTATTTCAGGGTTTAGGGTTAAGGGCCACCATGATATGGGTATATAGTAGATAGTAGGGTTTTCTTTATGGTAGTAACTTAATTGAAGCTCCCTCGCAGCAACCCAGGCTAACACAGCGTGGCCTTACGGTGGAGGACGTGCCCCGGCGGCCTTAAAGGCAGTCAAGCTGTGAATGGCACATGAACTTGTAACCAGAGAGGGCTGACATGCGTAGTGCAGAAGATGTGAGGCCTGCTGCTTCTATCAGCTGAGGTGAGTGGAGACTTTAATGCAAAGTGCCTTGAACTCAGTGGCCTGCAAGGGGATGATGTGTCGCAGTATTGTCCTGCTTGTCAGGCAAAGAACACTTCGAGCATTCTCTCGACAAGACTACATTCGACTTTGAAAGCGGGCCGCTTTGGAAGCTTAGGCTTCTGCGTCAGGTGCCCAGCTAGTTCAAAACGATTTGGAGCTGCGTTCAAACTTCTAACAAAGTGTGGGACAAGTTGGCAATTTGTCAACAG